AGAATAGACAAAGGAAATGTTACTACTATATCTGGAAATGCAAAAATAATCGAAGGTTCCGGAAGAGTCAATTTCATTATGCCAGGAGGAACGAAATTTATAGTAAAAGATGCATTATTTTCCTCCAAGTCCCAAAGAAATTTATTGAGTTTTAAAGATATCCGACAAAATGGATATCATATTGAAACTATGAATGAAGACGACACTGAGTATTTATATATCACCTCAATCAATTCGGGACAAAAGTATGTCTTGGAAAAATTATCCACTCTATCATCGGGATTATATTATACTAATATCAATGTGATTGAATCTCATGTCATAGTAAACCAGAAGCTTACTGATACGTTCAAAGTTTGGCATGATCGATTGGGTCACCCGGTGCCATTATGATGAAAAAAATCATCGAAAACTTTTATAATCATCCATTAAAAAACCAGAAGATTTTTCAATCGCATGAGCTTTCTTATGATGCATGTTCTAGATGAAAATTAATAATTAGACCATCACAAGTCAAAATCGGGCATGAATTTTTGGAAAGTATATATTGAGTACGATTCATCATCCATTATACGATATCTTGAGCCACAAACTGGAGATATTTTTACGGCTCATTTTAATTTGCTTATTGTCATTTTAATGAAATTGAATTCCCATCATTAGGGGGAGAAAATTATAGAATGGTGGAAAATGGAAATGATCTTAATTGATGTACACTATCATTATCCCACTTTGATCCCCCATCAAAACAACGAGAACTAGAAGTTCAAAGTATTATACATTTGCAGAATGTTGCAAATCAGTTACCTGATGCAGTTGCAGATACAACTAGGGTAATAAGATCATATGCTGCAAATGTTCCTGCTCGGATTAAAATTTCGAAAGAACAAATGAAAGAAAAATCGACAAACGGTTCCAAAACACGCCTGAAGCGTGGACGACCTATTGGTTCTAAGGATAAAAACCCCCGGAAGAGCAAAGGGCCCAAGAAAAATGAAATGCTCAATTCGGAGGAAAGCGTTCCAAATCAAAGAAATGAAGTACCTTATGATGATGGTATAAATCCAGATAATGGAAATCATGATATCTCAATTAATTATATCAGTAATAGTACATTATGGAATCGAAAAGAAATCAAAGAGATTGATGATATATTCTGTTATAATGTATCAAAGGAAATTGATGAAAATGAGGATCCAGAATCCAGATCTATTTCGGAGTGTCAAAGGAGACCAGATTGGAATAAATGGAAAGATACATTACAAGCTGAATTAGATTCGCTTAATAAACGAAAGGTATTCGGACATATTGTTATTAAACCGAAAGAAGTTTCTCCTGTTTGATGTAAATGGGTATTTGTGCGGAAAAGAAATGAGCACAACGAAATTGTAAGATATAAAGCTCGTCTTGTCGCACAAGATTTTTTCCAGACCAAGAGTAGATTACGAAGAAACTTATTCTCCTGTTATGGATGCTATTACATTTCGATACCTAATTAGTCTTGCAGTTTCAAAGAATTTAGACATGCGTATCATGGACGTTGTCACTGCTTATTTATATGGGTCACTTGACACGAGTATCTATATGAAAGTCCCTGAAGGATTTAAAATACCCGAAACATTGAAAGCAAAACCACGAGAGTTATGTGTTGTCAAGTTACAACGATCATTGTATGGGCTAAAATAATCAGGACGTATGTGGTATAAACGTCTGAGTGAGCATTTATTGAAAAATGGATATACAAATAATCCTATATCACCATGTGTATTTGTCAAAAGAACGATGTCTGGGTTTGTGATTATTGATGTATATGTCGATGATATAAATATCATTGGTACTTCCCGTGAGATCCAGGATGCATCCAATTATTTAAAAGGGGAATTTGAAATGAAAGACCTTGGGCAAACCAAGTATTGTCTTGGATTACAGATAGAACATTTGAAAGATAGAATATTTTTACATCAATCTAATTATACAAAATGGTACTAAAACGATTCAATATGGATAAGGCAAATCCACTAAGTACCCCGATGGTTAATAGAACATTGGACATTGAAAATGATCCATTTCGTCCCCGCGAAGATAATGAAGAGATATTTGGTCCTGAAGTACCGTATCTAAGTGCAATAGGAGCTCTTATGTATCTTGCAAATTGTACAAGACCAGATATATTGTTCGCTACCAATCTATTAGCAAGATACAGTTCTGCCCCAACACGAAGACATTGGAATGGGGTTAAACATATATTTCGTTATCTTCAAGGAACTATTGATCTTGAGTTGTTTTACCCTAAAAACACAAAATAAGAAATTGTTGGTTTTGCAAATGCAAGTTATTTATCAGACCCACATAAAGACAGGTCACAAACATGCTACGTCTTCACAATCAATGGAACTGCGTTAGTCTGGCGTTCTCAAAAGCAGACTCTAGTCACGACATCAGCTAATCATGCCGAGGTCATCGCATTACATAAGGCGAGTCGAGAATCAGTATGACATGAGATCACTATCTCAACATATTCAAAAGGCTAGTGGAATACCTATTGACACGACGCCAACAATATTGTTCGAAGACAATGCTGCGTGTGTTGCACAGACTATTGAAGGATTCATCAAAAGTGATAGGACAAAACATATTCCCCTGAAGTTCTTCGCATATACCCAGGAGATTGAAAAGAATATGGAGATTGAAATCAGATTTGTACGATCATGTGACAATGCAGCAGACCTGTTCACCAAAAGACAATGGTGTTCAAGAAGCATGTACATAATATTGGGATGCGTCATTTATGTGATCTTTGATATCTTGTTCAGGGGAATGTGTAGCTGTACTCTTTTTTCTTTATCAGGTTTTATCCCATCGGATTTTACTGATAAGGATTTTAATGAGGTAGCACCGAAACACGCAACTGTGTTTTTACTAACGGTGGCTCCAAGAGGGAGTGTTATAAATAAAATATATTTATAGTGGAGCCTACCGTTACTGTTCATACTTACTTATTGTTCATATATATGGTACTGTTCACACCGACCGTATACGTGAACAGTAACTTCGGAATTTCTATAGATAGACCATTTTGTTCCTCTATTTGTACACTTCCAAGAGAGAGAGAGAGTAATAAGAAATAAATTTGTTCTCTATTCCCCTAAATACAGTTTTCGATTTATAATTAACGATCTAATATTTGGGTCGTTAATATTTCTTCCGGTTTCACGACAAAAACCAATTTTTCGGAAAGAAAGTAAATGTCACATAGACCGATAATATGGCATCAAGAGAAAGGTTCCAAAAAATTTTCTACATAAATTTTTTTTTTATAATCCCCAAATTCGAATAAAAAAAACCGCAAGTCTCATCATATAATTGACTCCAAAGGGTAAAATGGTAAATCAACATATAAGATAAGCTAAGATTGTAGATCTAAATGACAGATCATACAACGACAAACTGCGAACAAAACAATCACCCCGACACAACACAGTCAGATTGAACTAATTTTTTAAAAATAAATATAGTTATTTCTTATTTTAATTTTCGTCCATTATTTCTTCATTCTTTCTAAAATAAACAAAATTTAAAATCAAAATTTATATTTATTTTTTGTAAGCTCGCTAGACAACAAGAAGGGGATTAGCTAGTAGAAGGCAAAGTCCTTTTCAGAAAACGCAAGAGGAACGTTATTAAGCGCCCATTAAAGCGCGTGTGTTTCGTATCCAAATTCCTGTTCGCATAAAATATCAAAAGAAAAAAAGGAATTAATTAAAGGGAATAACTAAAAATAAAAATAAGTGCAAGAAAGAAAATACCCAAAAATAAAAAAAAATGTAAAAGTGATTTCAGAAATTTTTTTAATTATTCAAATATCAATTTATTTATTAAACTAAATTCTGAGGAGTGATTATTTAATTAGATATTTTAGTAGACTTGAAATATATAAATTAAAGTTCCTTGTTGTTGATTATAATTTTCAATTTTAATTAATATCTATAGTTCTTCGATTGAATAGTCCAAAAATAGATTAAAATCCAGCGTTATTTATGATAAAGAAAACTTTTTAAAAAATTAATATACTTTTAAAAAAATTACCAAATGGAACAGAATTAAACTTTGCTAAAATTGCAAGTCTTTAAACCAGTTGATTTTTACAGATTTTTTATTGGACCGTGCCTTCACGCGCTTTTATGGGAAATTTTAAAAGGCCGTTTCCTTTTTCTCATTTTCCTTTTATCTTTTTGTAGTTGGTTGATTTTTAGCTCCTGGATAATTCAGGGGACATCTTTACATTTAGAGCCCTTTAATTTATCTGTTATTTTAATTTTCATCCAATACTATAGTATTATCAGAATACACCCTATGAGAATCAATACTAACAACAAAAGATAAAATGTCTGCACATTTATTAAGAAAATGCACCCTATTAGATTATCTTTTACACCAAAATATTACCTTTACAATTACTTTTAATTATTAATTTACCATATTTCAGTAACTCAAGTTATATTGATTCATAATCATTACGCTATATTCAATTAAATTCTAATGGAAGTTATAGTTTATATAAACTTTTCCACTCATATTAGTGAGAATATAATAATATTTGATCTAGTAGAACTTCAATAAATTAATTCAATACATAGAAGTTATCTAAACAAGTAATATGTTTTAAGAATAGATAAGATATATATGTATTATGGTTATAATTAAATCATGTAATAAAAAGTATAAATTAATTTCCTATTTCGGTTATATTATCATGGACAAAAGTTCACATTTTTTATTTGCTCTTTTTAAGGTAAAAATTTAATTATGATGTGTAGAGTTCAAAGGTAGAAATATATAGAAAGCAAGAGGATGGATCTATAAAATGAAAAAAGAAACTGATGGTAAGAGGAGAAAAAAATGTATGCAAAATATTTTTAAAGAAAAACATTTTTGGAAAATTAAAAAAAAAACCTTATAAAAAATAGGAAATAACCCCCAAATAATGGAGGCAAAGTGGAGACTCGAGAGAGATGGAGTCAAGAGAGAGAAACTCCGAACTCACACAAAGCTTTGTTCTTTAAGCTCTCTCTGTTCTCGATCTAAAAAGAAATCGAAGCTTTTGATCAGAGAGGGAGAGAGAAGAGGATTTCTGGAGAGAGAAAGCTAGGGTTTTTCCTGCATATTAGATTTGGGTCTGTGTTTGGTCGATGAGAGAAGATCGGTCGGAAATGTCAGAGGACGATGAGCCATCTATGCAATTGGATCTCAGCTCCGCCGCAATCTCCGAGCCCTGTTCTTATTCCTCGCCCTCGTCCTCCTCCTCCGCCGCGGCTAACAAATCCCGGAACTGCCACTCCACTTCGCCGGTGGCTCCGCCGCCGTGCCTTGATCATGTCCTCGAGAACGTCCTTGAGAACGTGCTCCAGTTCCTGACCTCGAGATGCGACCGCAACGCAGCGTCATTGGTGTGCAGATCGTGGTTCCGGGTCGAGGCTTTCACCCGATCCGAGGTCTTCATCGGAAACTGCTACGCGCTCTCGCCGGTCAGGCTCACGCGCCGGTTCAAGCGCGTGAGGTCCCTGGTGCTGAAGGGGAAGCCTAGGTTTGCTGATTTCAATCTCATGCCTCCGGATTGGGGGGCTAACTTCGCGCCCTGGGTCATTGCAATGGCCAAAGCTTACCCGTGGCTTGAGAAGGTCCATTTGAAGCGCATGTTTGTCACAGATGACGATCTGGCTCTCCTCGCTGAGTCGTTCCCTGGGTTCAAGGAGCTTTCTTTAGTTTGCTGTGATGGATTTGGGACCAGTGGCATCGCCATGGTTGCTAGCAAGTGCAGGTATGTTCACTGGTTCTTTTAGTTTGGCAGTTTTGTTGTTGGTATTGTTGCTGCTTTGGACATATTTTCCGTGAGTGGAATTGGGACGTCTAGATCTGTTGTATATGTCCGCTACTGGATTCCTTGCTCTGTTTTGCGCTCTGATTCTGAGAACTTTGAGGAGTGCTTGATGGGTTGATGTGATGAGATGGTTTGATGTTTAGTCTGAAAACCATGAGTTTCACGTGAACTTATTGATGCTAATCTTGTTTCAGACAGCTAAGAGTTCTTGATCTGATCGAGTCGGAGGTAACAGACGATGAGGTGGATTGGATATCTTGTTTCCCGGAGGGTGGAACCCATCTGGAATCTTTGACTTTTGACTGTGTGGAAGCTCCTATCAATTTCCAGGCGTTGGAGAGGCTCGTAATTAGATCACCGTTCTTGAAGAAACTTAGAGTGAACAGGTTCGTCTCCATAGAGCAGTTACATAGGCTGATGGTTCGAGCCCTGCAGCTGATGAGCCTCGGGACAGGCTCGTTCAGCCCAGATAATATGCCTGACCCCGAGCAAGAAATGGATTATGCATCCGCATTCCGTGCTTGTAAATCCATTGTTTGTCTATCAGGATTCAGGGAATTGATGCCCGAGTACCTTCCCGCTATTTATCCAGTTTGTGCTAATCTCACCTCTCTGAACTTCAGTTATGCTAACATTACTCCTGAGATGTTTAAACCTGTCATCCGCAATTGCCACAAACTGCAGGTCATCTGGGTATGTTTTTCCGTCTCTTGATCTATGTCCACTTGTTTTTCAAGTTATTTGTGATATATATTGTGACCATATGGTGGTATCAGTGGATTGAGTCACTTGAGTTATGTATTTGGTTTGAACTTTATGATGCAGACTATGGACTCGATATGTGATGAAGGACTCCAAGCAGTGGCTGCATCATGCAGGGAACTTCGTGAGCTTCGGGTTTTTCCGTTTGATCCTCGGGAAGACATTGAAGGTCCTGTCTCTGAAGTAGGTCTCCAAGCAATCTCTGAAGGTTGTAGGAAACTAGAATCTATCCTCTACTTTTGCCAGCGAATGACAAATGCCGCTGTGATAGCCATGTCCGAGAATTGTCCTGAGCTGATTGTTTTCAGGCTTTGTATAATGGGTCGCCACAGGCCTGACCATGTGACGGGAAAGCCAATGGACGAGGGGTTTGGTGCCATAGTTAAAAACTGCAAGAAGTTAACCCGGTTGGCAGTGTCAGGTTTATTGACTGATCGAGCTTTCAGCTATATTGGAGAATACGGGAAAACGATCCGAACACTTTCTGTAGCATTTGCTGGGGACAGTGACATGGCTCTGAGATATGTCCTCGAGGGTTGCACGAAACTGCAAAAGGACGAAATCTCAAACTTAAATAAGCTTAGAAAACCCTAAAACCGAATTTTAGGAAAATCCCAGATCCCCCGCTCTTCGGGCAGGTATGCATCGTTATTACGACATGAGGTTCGTTTGGATGTCAGCTTGTACCATATCTCGGCAATGTTGCGGGGATATGGCACGTGCTATGCCTAATCTGGCGCTGGAAGTGATCGAGTCGGAGGATGATGAGAGCAAGGATTTTGTCCAGACGTTGTACATGTATCGGTCCCTCGATGTCCCGAGGAAGGATGCACCGAAGTCTGTCACCATTTTATAGATACCTTCAAGTGCATTTGAGGGCAAGAAGCATTTTGATACCTTTGGAATTTCTTGGCCGAAAACAGGGGCAATCACGGTGACACTTAAAGCGCCGAAATCTGTCATCGAGGATGCAAAATCCGGTTCCTTTGGCGGGTTTTCTGCCAAAAAAATGCTGCGTTTCATCGGAAAGCTACCGTTGGAAGAAGGATATCTCAGTTTCTTATCTCTGTAAATGCGTCAAAACAAAACCTCCCCATGATTGTTGTATCATTAATTCTGTCACTCTTTTTGTGGATTTGGCATTCGTTCATCGTTTTACCAGCAACAGGGAAGGAGGGTATTTAGGGGAAGAGAGTGAACTCAAGAGAGGGCCCTGTTAATGCCAGAAAGCACCAGGAGCAGGTAGAACATTTCAACAAGAAACACAAAGCGTCTTACGGACATGTACTGTCTCCCCAAGGACCTGTTTAGTTTAGACAAGATCCCAAAACATTCTGGAAAATTTTTCTTTGAACCGAATCGAAACTTCTAGAGTTTTTTTTCCCGCTTATTTTTCGATCTTAGTTCGGTTTTCTTCTCAGTTTGCTTTGATTTCATTAAGCCATGCATATCTTTGATAAAAGTGACAGTTTCTCTGATAAAATCGTTTCAAGTTGAGGGAAAATCATATCTTTGATAAAATAATGATTCTTAAAAACTAAATTTTCAGGTGATTGTAAAAGTCCGAGCATTGTTTCGAATGAGAAAAGACTTGGGGGGTCAAAAGATAAATTGCAAAAATGGTGGTGGGGGGTACAGTACACAGTACACACATACTTTGGATTTATCAGGAAGAGCTTCTTATCCAAAGGACAAACAAGTGATGAAATCTGTGAATAAGAAGAGACCCAAAACAACAATTCTATAAAATTTAAAAATAAAAAGACCTTTTAAAAAAAACTAAAAGTGAGAAATGACCCAACAAACAAAAAAATAATCTAACATTCAAGAAAATAAAAAGAATTATAGTTGAAAAAATAAAGAAAATAAAAGGGGTAGTGACAGAAAACATGATGGTGGTTTGGTTGGATAGAGAAATGGATGGGGGAGCCATTGGAATTGAATGAATGAATGATTGGTTGCGTTTATTGTGCATATTGATGTGATCATCTTACCTACTTAGGTCTTAAACCATTGAAAATATATTATAATATATATATATATATATATATATATATATATATATACTCTAATTTGATTTTGAGCCTCAAGACATGTTTTCGAATGGACGGTCCTGATTAACTTTCCCTAAATAAAAACATGACATAATTGCCCTTCAGTCTACATGCATGCACTTGCCCTTTAAACGTCTCTCAAGTCCCATTATATGCTACTGAACAAAAGCTGTAGTAGTAGGGTTTAGAAATCATACGCAGGTGACCAAAAAACGGCCCGACCGCTTTTATCTCATGAACATAAATGAATGACCCTTGTTTGCAGGAAGTGCTGCCTTTGTTTTTTGTTACAGGTCGTGCAGGTGCAGGACCAACACTCGTGTCCATTCTACGTAATTTATTGGCTCTAATATCATTCGGGTTTTTTTTTTTGGTCTCGATGGGTACTATCGACGGTTGTTAAGATCTTATGGCTGCTTTGATAGCGCAAATGGCTGAGGGAGGCAACAGCCGAGGAGGGTGGGTAGGTTGGAGACTGTTTTTATGGTTGTTGGGTTCCATTCTTTTATTTGGATCGGAAGTTATAGGTAAGAAAGCGGCGGGTCTACACACCAATTAGGGTTTTGCCTCGGCTAGCCAGCCGAGCCGGTGTAAGCCCGATGCCAGGCAGTGCCGTGCGTGGTCCTCTTCTATGAATTGGAATGTCATCGATGGCTCTTTTTATCACTTTGAACACCAAGCCCCTCTCAAATGACGCGTCCACCGTATCACCTCATCAATGGGAGACTTCGTCTTCTACTGATTGTTCTTCCTTCCACCATATTTATAGGAATATGGATGACGAATGATTTTCGAAAATTGGTCCACCTTCCCTTTTCAGGGCACCATGTGGTAGGATAATGATATTTTTTCCATGCGCGTTTTACTTGAAACTTCCTCCATCTAACGATTTTTCATCGGTCACTTGCTTCGCAAGGCACTAGTGGACCCCTTTCTTTTAATAATCTAAAAGTTTATTAGACCTTTGAACCATCTCCCTCTTCAAAAGAATCGGAGAAATTCATGTGAATGCCTCTCCAAAGAATCGAACATGGGTTGGAATGGAACAAAACTCTTGTTCATCGATGTGAGAATCGAATCCATTACAAAACCAAATGATATAAATTTTTTCGAAACCGGATGGATCGTATGTATACCGACTATAAACCAAACGAAATACCAAATAAATTTCTTTCAAAAATAAATATTTTTTAATTATAAAACGAATGAAAACCGAACTCAAATGAATATTTTATTTAACTCAAAAATAATTACGATTTTCTTGACGTCAAGTTCCCGACACAACAGTCTTACGGGCAACTGTTGGAAAAATGATCCAAAAAGGAGGAGTGATCATTAATATAGACAAAGGGTTGTTCCTTGTTGCTTTAAACCACCCCCATTCATGAAAGAGAGGCCATACATATACTATATACTTACATATGGCCCTCTATGAACCTATCAGCACAAGAACTGCATAACCAAACCAGATATTTCTCTATTTCTTCATCTAACAAGGAAGGGTCGTGCGAATAATCCCAAACTCGAACCAACCCGGCTTTCTATTTACACATCCTGTTTTGTACATCATCTGATTAGAAGAATCATCCCAAAGTCAGCATCTTAAGGCAGAAGAAGAAGAAAAAAAACCATACCAGCCAAAATTCCATTCGCGAGCTACCGACAGAACGGTGCGTTAATTCGTGAGTGCTAACTCGATCAGAAGGCTCTACAGAGTGTGTTAGCTGTCATGTTAGACGAGTGTTGATGCTTGATGGGGCTGTTGGGACCACCACAGATTCGGGTTCCCTTCGGCTCTGAGATCCTCACGTTGGAAATTGCAACCGCTAATACATCTACAAGGTCGCTTTCGTCATGCTCCTCTTCATCAGAGACTGAACTCCCAGTTGGTGAGAATGGCAAGGAGCTCACTGTGAGAGATGAGGGGTTGACTCTGATAGTTCTGTCCGGGTCAACTGTCTCGAGATTAGAACTTGACGAGCATGGAGAAGGATCTGTTTGATTCTTGTAGGTGGATTTGATATACAACATCTTGAGTGTGTGATATGACCTCAGGACCTATGTGAGGAAAAGGAAAAATGCCAAGGCATGGGACGAAGCAGAAAACGGGAAAGAGAACACGGTGGAAGCAAGAAACACGGAAGAGGATGAGCTGACAGCTGATTAGGCGAAAGGCTGAAGATAGAATAATCAGAGGTTATCTTTGATTCTGTTTGATAAGAGTAGAAGATTTGGATTGATATGATAAGAATTGGTAGTTAGTTTTCTATTAGTTAGATACGTTGGAATGGGTTTTTTCAGGTTTTGACTATTGGTTTTCTTGTTTGGGAGGGGTGAGAGAGAACTCACAATAATCAATCTCAGGCTTTGGTTGGTTTTCTTTTCTAGATTCAATAAAGAGTGCTTTCAGTTTTCATACCTGAAACTTACCATTTTGGTATCAGAGCATACCGATCCACCATGACCAAGAACAACAATCAAGGAGACGATTATTGAGAAGTTCTCGAGGTTGGAGGCTCTCAGGGAGAAGGATTCTCAAAGATTCGAGGTAATTGAAAGCATGCTATCTGATTTTCATGCTTGGATGAAAGGGAAGAACATGGAATCCAAAGAGGCTCCAGCCTCGGCGGTTACCACTTCACCAGTTTTTCCTTCAGGATCAAATTCGATTTCGGGTGTAGGATCACCGGTTGTCCAACAGCCGCTTACTGATCATGGGGCCGACGATAGTCTTCGCCGGTTCACCAACACATGTGAAGGCAGGTGAAGAAGATTGATATGTCGATCTTCGAGGGCGATAACCCCACAAGTTGGATCACGCGGGCTGAAAGTTCTTTGAACATGGCGGGTGTTCGAAGGAGGAGAAGCTTCGGTTGGTCTCCATCAGTTTGTCGGGGTGTCCCTTATCATGGTACAATTGGCAACGCAGTCAGATTCTGTTTCATAGCTGGGAAGAGTTTAAGCCTTTAAGGTTCGGTTCCTTGAGCGTTATGGCGATCAATGTGCGGGTTCAGCGGGAAATCAGTTGTTTGCTCCGTGGCAAACAAACACAATGGCGGAATACCTTGATGCATTCGAAGACCTCCTTGCACAGTTACCGCATATCCCTCCGGACTTGGTGGAATGTGCATCCACAAATGGCTTGAAACCGGAAATTTATGAACACATTCTAGTGTATCGTCCTGAGGGGTTAGCAAAGATGATTGCTTTGGCTTTACGGCTAGACGGCAACCCCCTTTCTGCCCAGATTGCATCGGAAAAACATGGAGATTTCAAGGGACATCGACCGAATTCTTCATCATCCAACACTTTCCGAACTGTCGCAGTTCCGGCTCAGCCGCTATCACAGATGGATTCCAGACGCAATTTGTTGGGAAATCTACGGGTTCCTAGCATGCGATCATATCGATCTAAGGTTTGGTTTACTAGATTTCATGCAGCGGAAGAAAGATCTAAACCTAGTCAAACGTCACACGCAACCAAACTTGATAAAACCTGAAAGATCGTGTATATCACCGAGGGAATCGTTACTTACCTCGTTCTCGATGTAACTTGAAGTAAAATTCGATCAGGGGCATGTTCTTAATCACTTAGGACTGAAGTTACAGTCCCTCCGACGGGAAGGATTCCAAATGATTTGGAATGTATCTGCTAGGATTAGTGAAGAAAAGGGTAACTCGAGAGACCAAATCTAATCCCGAGAAGCTCAAAAACGAAAAGAATGAATTCTCTAGGGTTCTTAGATGTCTCTCTGAATTTTAGGGCGGTCTTAATTAAGTTTGGACGAAATCTCAAACTTAAATAAGCTTAGAAAACCCTAAAACCGAATTTTAGGAAAATCCCAGATCCCGGTCCGCCGGACCAAGAGCCGACGGACCAAGCTCAGTCCGAACTGTCGGACCGCCTGACCTGACGGCTTGGTCCAGCTGACCAAAATGGACCAAGTTCCTTCTTCGTCAGCTCAGTCCGACATGTCCTCGGTCCGCCTGACCCAGCGTCTGGTCCGGAGCTGACCAACTCTTGGTCAGCCGGACCAGACCTGGACAGATGACTTCGGACCGAATTTCCGGACCACCTGGACTGACCAAACTTGGTCCGGGGCCGACCAAACTTGGTCAGCTCTGGACCAACACATTGAAAACTCCTTTTCATGCTCGTTTCGGTCTAATCTCGTGATAACACATATTTCGGGTGATGTTTTGATATAGAATGTCTAGCGTATTTCACTCGATTTTATATATTTGTAGACATTCTAGGGCACATTTGGCTTCGATATTGGTTGGTTATGTTCTTTGGTGTTTAAACAGGAATCCACACATAAAGAGAGCAAAAGGAGTAGAAAACATGGA